GGCGTCTCCTTTGGCCTTCCTCGTTATTGTTGCCTCTATGATTGGCGTTTTATCTTTCAATTAGGTATTAGTTATCTCCGATGTTCTAGTTCTTGATATTATGATAACCATTGACAGTTAAGTGCCATTAGCAAAATAATGATGATAGTGATGGCAACGTCGAGTACCATGAATGTTATAAAAAATGATCAACGTGATGATAAACAATGAGTTAGAATCGAATATTTTCTTAATGTTATCATCATTATTATTCCTTTCACTTACTCTCATCTTTTGGATCCGACGACGACGCGGCGGCCCTCCTGCAGCACACAGTCCAGTGCACTTATATATAGGCCTATTACTCTTCTAGCATCAGACCATCACTTCCTATGGAGAAACAGCAGCATTAAAATATGTCAATTATCAAAAGAAAGAAAACAAATGAGATAAATTTCACAGAGAAATATTTATTGTTTATTTTCGATATATTATTCATCATATTTCTAATGGAGGTTGTGATGTAGGAAAGCTGAGTGCGCAGCAGGCGTGTGGTAAGGGTGTTGTAGGCAGAAAAGGAGTTGTAAGTACGTCAGAGTTAGTTGTATGACTTAATACTGGTAAGCAAGCCGAGAGATTGACCTATAGGAGAGCGGGAAAGACACATACTTACACACACACATACTTACACACAAACATACACATACATACTTGCACACACACACACACACACGCACACACACACACACACACACACACACACACACACACACACACACACACACACACACACACACACACACACACACAAACACGTACTTACACGTAAACTCACACACGCATATATATGTAACTATGTATGTATATCTGTTTAGGCATACACAGATTTTCTTCATATTTTCACCCTTGGATCTGTATCACGAAATAAAAATAAATAAAAGAAATGTATTGTTATTCCTTGCGCTCGAAAAAACAATCACATTTAAAAAAATCTTCAAATGATATCAACATACTATATATATTCATCTAAACACACCATTAAAAAGAATAAGAAATAAAAAGTGATTCAAAAGCGTACGTATTTTCCTGGTCGAAGAAATTTGGCGCCAAATATTCATGGAGACATGAATACGGAGGCACGGGTCGTGGGAACCAGCTTCCAACGGACTGACCGCTTCTCGTTCATTGCATAATCAATAATACTTACGTGGTATTTACGTTCACTAAAATATCCTTCCCTCCTTTTCTTTTTTTATTTCTTCCATGTTTAGGTCTTTCTGCATTTTAAGGTCGGAAGCCGTGGCCATCGTCTGGGATTCGAACATTTTGTTCCAGCTGGCGTCGTATCTGGGAATCGGATTATTCTTGAAATATTTGAATTTCAATAATAGATTGATCTCTCTCTACTCACAGGTTTATTAAATTGTATGGGGGAATGTTGATCTTACAATATATTTATGAAACGTTTACCTTACATTCTTATAAATCAAGATTTTCATATAGCAGTCCTCTTCTTAATAGTTTGTCACTTAATTTCAAAGGTCGCATATTGGATTTTTTCACATTTTAGATAATGATAAATGTTTGCGTAAATGCAGCATGTCAAGTTCAAAGATATTGGAAACTGAAAGCAACTGCACCATATATCTCGTCTAGATTTAAAAAATACCCCCATATATATATATTATATATATATATATATATAATATATATTATATATATATATATATGTGTGTGTGTGTGTGTGTGTGTGTGTGTGTGTGTGTGTGTGTGTGTGTGTGTGTGTGTATGTGTGTGTGTATGTATGTGTGTGCGTGTGTGTGTACAAACTATATGTTTGTGTGTGTCTGTGTAATATATATACATATACACATATCTGTCCGATCATACTTTCGTCTTCCATGGCGTTCTTAAACAAGCCATCCAGTTTATCCCTCCTAAATGAGTCAACAAAGACATTCATTTCGACCATTTCGACTCCTCAGCCGATAACTGTGATAACCTAACCTACGCCGATCGCTCTCGCTCGCCCAGTCATAACCGAAGTGGATTGGAACCGGATTGGAACGTGCCTCTCCGTCAAGATGCAAATTACAGCCGCCAGCCATGACATGTACTTAGCTAAGTGTCGGTTTGGAGAACCCTCTATCGGTTCCGGAATATTTTAAATCGATGCTAATCATTCACCGTCTGTGATTGGCTCTCGCGCTGGCCAATAGCAGCTCGCTGGATAGGGTCTTTCCTCGCTGCGACACATATTTCACCTTTCAATATTGTAGGTTTCTAGAAAGAAAAAAATATGGAAGGAGCTGCTATCCTGTCTCCCATGTCAGACGTTGGCCAGCTGGGGCGAGGTGCAGGTCGTGCGTGAACCATTCTCTTGATCTTCTCTGACTTACGTTGAGACCGTCCAACTGTTAGTGACTTGATATAATTGTCCCGCGTAGCCCAGTGTTTTAATCTTCTGGACTTTCTCTTTGAAAGACGAAATTTTATGCAGCGAGTCTTCAGCAGAAAGAAGTCGACAAAACATCCTGAACTGTGAAAGTCGAAGCTCTGTCACGCCGAGTTACTCTTATCATAATTCCTGTTTTAAGAACGGTTTGAATCCCAGCAAAACGGAAAAGACATCAAGAGAAAGTTCTTTTTATCATATCACCAAAGGAGAAAAAATAAGCATGTATATTTTCTTTCAATAATTTTGAACGCCTGTTGTTCCTGACTATCAAGACAAGATGGCCGCCACAGGTACAGCTTTTGCGACGCTTATATTTTTGATGGCGGGTAAGTCGAGTCGATCTTTAGCTCCTTTCCGGCTGTTGAAATGTTGAGATAGATAGATGGATAGAGAGAGAGAGAGAGAGAGAGAGAGAGAGAGAGAGAGAGAGAGAGAGAGAGAGAGAGAGAGAGAGAGAGAGAGAGAAACAATAATTACTTCTTCTTTATAAAAATATTTCGTCATGATAATGGTGAGATGGAATGAAAATATCTGACCTAGACTATGTCATAACTTTTTTGCATATTTACGAAAATTCTACGATAAAATTATGAAAGAAACTGCAATGATTGACGCATTCGTCATGTAACAAACATTCCATCTTAATCCTGAAAAAAATGCATTGATACCATATTGTGATGAACAGAAGACAGAGAATACCCATAAGATTTTAAAGTAACAATTACATTTTCCTTCAAATAAAGACCCCCCCACCAAAAAAAAAAAAAAAAAAAAATCTTGTGGTACTTTTTTTTTTGTTGAATTCCTGCATACCATGTACCCAACATTTATTTTGGTATTAGTGGAGATAAAATGTATAAAAAAACAGAGTCTTTTACCAATTATCTCTTACACATACAGCATGAAAGACATTTTATACTGGAAAGTTTAACCGACATACTGCAAATCTGGATTTTATTTACCTATTTTCAAACTCTGACTGCGTGAAATACCAGATTAAAAGATACTTTTACATATGTATAATTGATATATAAATCGCATTACTGCTCACTTTGTCTAATTGCTGTGGCTAGGCATTTAATTATTATTTTTTCTAATTTTGTGGTATTTTTTTAATAATTTTGTGGAGATTTTTTTAAACCGAGATTTTACATTTTGTTCTAATTGTATTTCTCTCTTATTTTTTTTTGATTTTGATTAAGTAAATATGTTTGAAGATGTGTGCTAGAATGGGCATGTTTTTTTTTTCTAGAATGATTTTGTGTGTGTGAATATCTGTACGTATGTATGGGTTTATGTATGCGTATGCGTGTCTGTCAGTATATGTGCGTCTTTACTTGCATTCCCTATTTCGGCTGTTTCTTCGTTAAATCAGTGAGGGAGTGAGTATATCTATATATCTATATATATATATATATATATATATATATATATATATATATTATAGATATTTATATAAGAGAGAGAAGAGAGAGAGAGACGAGACGAGAAATCATTGGAGAGGGAGAGAGAAAGAGAGAGAAGAGAGAGAGAGAGAGAGAGAGAAAAAGAGAGAGAGAGATTAGAATAAAGAAAAGATAAATAATAAATCGTTTCGACGTATTTGCAGTTTTGATATAGTTTGTGTAACATTTTAAACGACTTGCACCCTTATGCCAAAAGAGATAAATGCGGAAATAAATCAACAAATAGATAAAAAAGGAATAGATGAAATGATATCAGTAATAATTATGATGAAAATATGAATAATGATAATGATGATGATGATAGTGGTAACATCAGTAATAGTGATAATGAAAATAATTACAATAATAATGATGATGAAGACTAGTAATAGTAATAGTACGAGTAATAGAACATATAGTAATAATAATAATGTTAATAATATTGATGATAACAGTAATAGTAATAATGATAATAACAGTGATGATAATAATAATGATAGGGATAGAAATCATGATAATAGTAATGAGAAAAAGGAATTAAATGATATAATGGTAGTATAATAATAACGAGAATAATGATAATAATAGTAATAATGGAAATAACAATGATACTGATAATGATGATGATAGAAATTATAACAACAATAATGATAAAGATAATAATGATAGTAATAATGTTAATAGTATTGATGATGATGATACTACTACGACTACTACCACTAATGATAATAATAATAATAGTAATAATAGTAATAACAATGATGATGATGATAATAATAACAACAATAAGGATAATAACAATAACAATGATAATATTAATGATAACAAAAATGAAAATAAAAAACAACTATTCAAGCACAATATATATGACTGAGTCTTCTTTTAAGTAAAGTGAAATTTATTTTTTTCTTGTAGTTTTTTTTCAGGAAAATATGTTAAACACTCGGGAAATTAACCTTTATAGAATGCTAACATTTACGCTTAAAAAACATACTAAACATTTTGGATTAGTAATTAGATAATCAAACTAAAATTTTAAATACATGACCATTCTCTGCTCCAGTTGCATCTGAGAAAGAGAGAGAGAGAGAGAGAGAGAGAGAGAGAGAGAGAGAGAG